CCTTACCGAGGTCTGAGTACGTGCTTTGGAGGCAGAGGGCAAGCGACGTGAAAACCAACGTCTCCTGTGAGGCAGGCTGGCTGCCCTGGCTCGCCTTCTCATGTGGCTGCGTGCTGTGCTGCTGAGCAGAGCAGCCGGTCCCAAGTTATGATTCGGCTACGAGACCCATGAATTGGCAGATCAAAGAATTGCGAGGGATGTCGGACACGGCCTGGCTGGAATTTGCTCTCCTCCTTTCACGAGGACACGCTGTGCTGCTCCTGTAGTAGTTTGGAGATCGTTGAAGGAGTAGAAAGGACTGAAGGATGGGCGGCTGAAGTAGCAACTGCTTTACTGTGCCCGGAACCTGGCTGTGCTTGGTGGCTGCTGATCACCAGCAAGTTGTTGCTGCCCTTCTTGGAGCCGGATCTAACATCCGAGTAGGGAATTCAGTAGAGAGAAATGCGATTTGAAGTTGAGCTCTGAATCTGCCTGTGCTGAGACCGGAGGCTCATGCGGTTTGGAGTCCGGCTGCTTGGGACAGCCGGGTTCAAAGGGAGGGGAAGAGCGGGCGTGCTTCTCCCTTGGGTGTGCAGCAGATGCTGCGAGTGCTTCGCCCCGTTCAGCCCTTCCCTGGAGCTGCGGGGTGCTCGAGCACTCGACTGCGGGTGCTGGGACAGACCAGGCGCTGTTTGGAAGGGGTAAAGAGCTCCCAAGGACGTTGCGTTGAGCTTGACCCAGGGCCTCCCCACTCTCTCTGCTCTGCGTCAGCTCTGTTTGCTCGCGAGCCCATTGTGGTTTTAGCCCAGTTTTTTCGCAGCCCAGCACAGTATGAGTTTTGGGAAAATTAAATTCCATTTAAGTTCCCACTTTACATCTCAGCTGGCAGCAGCTCGATGAAGGTACGCTTCTCACAGCCTACTTCCTCGTGCTTGTGTGGGGCTTGTCAGGGCTTACTTAGAGCTGGGGCTTTGACAGCCTCCTCTCATCCTGCACCCCAAGCTGCAGACGAGCAGGCAGGCCGTAGGAAGTGTAGCGGGGCAGAGCGCCATGGATTTGGCAAGGAAAGGCGACCTGCCTCCCTGGTTGAACTGCTCAGAGTGAAACGGTGCAGCCGGTCTGCAGGGCTTGGCCTTGGGCAGCGGCCGGCCGCTTGACCCTGCGCCTTGGAGCATCTCACTCCATGAAAGAAACCTAAAAATGTAAATACAAAATCTGCCCTGTAAAGAGGTGCGAGAGCCAGAAGACACGGGACCTAACTGCTGCACGCCCTCGCTTACCTCTGCATGTGACATTTAAGATCGCTGTACTCGGGTGCAAGTAAGTCCTGCTTTCATGTAGCTTATTTTTAATGCTAGCAGGTTTGCGAGTTCCGCGTCCTAATTAGGTTGCCAAAAAGCATCTTTTTAATGTGTTTAGATATGTTGCTTTTTTCCTTTGCCCTCCGGCTTCTCTTTATTATCAGACACTGTAAACAGCGGCCCGGTTGGCTGCCTCGGCATCGCTTGCTGTTTATAGGCCTCCCACCATATCCTCTTGCTGCTGTTTCCGGACCGAAGCTGTTGGCTGTGGGTGGTTAGCACTTCCATTCAAATTAGCTGTGCCAATTTATAGCCAGCCCAGGCGCTGGAGAGATTAAAGAGAATTTTTTATGGGGAAGGTTCGCGCTGTGCCCTTGGAGTGACCTTTGAGGAACGTCTTATTCTCTCTGGAAACCACCGGCACGTCGCAGAGGGGCCGCAGCAAGGCCCGTTTTGGGACGGAGCGCTTGGAACAGCTGCCTCTGAACCCTAGTCTTGCTTTCCCCTGCTCCCTCGGCTGAAATATCGCCTTCCCTCTGCTCTCTTCCCCGTACCGTTCCAGGTGCGTGGATCAGCTGGAGAGGAGAGCAGGTCCCGGGGGGAAGCCATGCCCTACTCTGCACGCAGCCCTCCTGCTTGCAGAGAGCCGCCGTGCCGGGGAGCAGAAGTAAAATGCCGCTCGGCTCTTCGCTTTGCACGGCTGGAGCGCTCCTTGGGGCTTTTGTCACCTCGTCTGCCCCCTCGCATTCCCCCCCTTCCCCGAAGCCGCCTGTGCTGGCACGAGCGTGAGGGGCTGGGGCCAGTGGAAGCGAGGGATGGGCGCAAATAGATTGGAAGCGACCGTCCGGGCACAGCACGTGGGGACAGGCTCTGTCTGGGAACGCTGTGCGAGGAAGGGAGGGAGCCGGCGCAGGGGCTGACGTCAGCCAGCACCCGCTTGGTGAAAGCGGCGCTTTTGGTGTGTGTAAGCACCGTGGTGGGGGAAGAAACTGGCGGGGGCGTAGCAAAGGAGGAGACGGAGGGGAGAGCAGGAGGCTGGGGCTGCGAGAGGCTCCATGGGAGAGGGTTGGGTTGGGTTGGGTTGGGCAAGAGGGCGGTGGCACCAGCTGTTGTAGCCGGAGCCTCTTGGGACTGACACTGCCTTGGCCACTGGAGCCAGCTGAGCACCGTGGCCCTGCCGGCGCCGCGGACAGAGCCCCAGCCTTGCTGCCAGCCCCCTGCCCCACACCAGGAGTGAGAGCTGGGACGGGGAGAGGGACGGCCGCGGTCGCTGACATTCCCCTTCTCTCTCCTAGGCTGGTGTCAGCAAGCGACCGCGAGTCCCGCCTGGAAGAAGTGCGTTCCGCCTTTCTGGCCAGCTACAGCCGGACCATCGGTCTGAAGGCCGTGCCCCCCAGCCCCTCGGGGGCCATCGGCGGCCTCCTCGAGCAGTTCGTGCGAGGCGTGGGACTGAGAGGCAGCAGCACGCTCTGAGCGCGACCTTCCCGGACCCCTGGCTGGAGACCCAGGACCTGGCGGGGTCCCCCCTACCCGGGACCCCGGTTCGGGGGCACCTGCAGCACCCAGCGCCCGCCACTGGCCACCCCTGCCCGGGGCCGGGGGGGCGTGGGGGGCTCCGGCGC